AATGTGAAAAGTTGAAATGATGTAATATGACGTATAAACGACGTAAATATGTATATCATTACTATATATTATATGTGTCTATGCAGATATGTGTAAAATAAAATAGCTAATTATAATTTTAATATATATATTTTCTGGAATCAAGGAAAATACAAGTACAGAAAAATCGAAAATTTAGAACAGGAGATCCCAATGAAATAATTTTTAAGGGATGTTCAGAGTTTTCATTGGAGGGTGCCGTAGGGAATGTGGTCCAGTGGATCGGTCAAAAAGCCTGGTGATAACAACAACAATAAAATTTACTACTGTGGTGATACAATTCACTCGATTGCTTACGATTATTCTTTAACGATGGATAAGGGTTTTAATGGCGGCAACAAACTTTTTGAAAGAGTAAAAATGGCGGCATAGTCACCGACTTCTTCTTTCCCCCATCTTCGACTAAACATGATAGCACATTTCTCTCTCTGCAAACCATTTTCATTTCTAGTCTCTGCAAAACCCTTATTGTAATAACACAGATCAGAATCCCCCCAGTAATTATAGCCATGACTGCAGATCAAGAGAACTGCGTGCTTGCCGCGCGTTCGTCATCCAAGAAGCGAGCCTCGGTTGCTCCGTCTCCGGAACTCCCCAGACTGAAGAAGCGAGTCGTGCTGGGTGAACTCACTAATTCGTCAGGTCTCGGGATGAGTCAGAATTCACCGATACCTAAACGTAAATTAGAGGGGGAGAACTTGGAGTTTGAGAGTGAGACTCGAAAGCGAAAGGATAGATCGAGGAAAGAGAGGAAGCAGGATCTGCCTCAGGAGATCAATACGAGGTCGGGTGAATTACAGAAGCCTGCAAACTCTTCCATGTATGAATATCTCCACTCTCTGGAGGTACGTATATTTACTTTTTCCTTTGTTGCCTCAATTTTCCCTCGTCAGTCATTTGCTATGAATTTTGATTTTAGAAGACGAAGAGCTTTCATTTATGTGCTAAAGTCGTGAAAATGTCCCATATAAATCAAAATTTGGTCCAGAAAGCAATGAAGAAGTATCTCTATTGAAGCTTATAACGAAGAAGTTGAGTGGCCGGTTTTAGATTGGCTTTTCCTAGCTTATAACCTAATTCTGGGAGAACAGTAAATCATATATATATTTTCTAGTCTTTTATTGATAAGGGAAAAACAACTGAAATCCTTTGCCTTAGTCAATGTTTTAGCTTATAGAGTGAAGAAAGTAAGCTAATTTATCAAGTAAGCTAATTTATCGGAATCTTTTTACCCGAAAATTACCCCACAGCTGATTTTAGTTTAGATTACAGTGATCATCATTTGCTGAAATCCTTATCGTAGTATAGATTACAGTTAATGGTAATTGATTTTGTAGTATATTTTGGATCTTTTCCACCTCTGGTTGGACTATAATGTAAGATTGTTTTGTGTCTTTAATAATAGTGATCTCTACATTTAAATTTTAGGTATTTCTTAAAATGCAGAGTCATTACCCGGTTTTCATGCTGGAATCACCTTCTTTTCTACTTTTGTGGGTTAATTCTTATTTTAGTAGCAGTTGAAAATTCATTCTTGAAGGAATTCAAGCTGGATGTGAAGGTGATTCAAATGTAAAATCATGTTGTAGT